CTCCCTGAGCAGTTTTATCATAATGATTAAGTTTCTTAACTTGAATCAAGGATGTCTCTGGAGTTCCCTACGACGATGTGAACTTAAGATAAACAATGAATGATGAATAGGCCAATTACTGAAAGCTCCCTCACTGAAACCTTCGGCTGAGGCCGTATGTGGCTGGTTGATAAGAGGAGATACACATCCTCTCATCTGGCAAATGTTACTGAAAATTGGACAGTTTGAAGCAAAGACAGTTCTGGCTAATCAGGCACTGGCTAATGAGCAGCTTTCTTTCCTGTGTGATTTTTTTCCTTTCTCTGTTTGCTGTCCATAGTGTTGGGAGTGGAGAGGGAGCTGTTCTTGAGCCWCACGGTGCAAATGCTTCAGTGTGGTACAAATCCCTGTGCTCTGCCCTGCAGAGCGCCCCGGCTCATGGCACAAAAGCAGCAGGAGGTGATGGAGGGCTGCCCTGTGGTGCTCCTGGGGGTCAGGAAGCCTTTCCCAACAGACCCACCCAAACAAGGTCCCACAARCCTGCCAGCAGYCTGGAAAAACCCCGTGGGTGCAAGSRCAAAGGGACACAGACCACGGCTGAGGAGGGAGGGAAAAGCACCTTGGGGCTGCCAGCCAGCATTCTGGATGTGTTTTGGGGCTGAGGCACCAAAAAGAGCAAAGTAAGAGGTATTTGCCCAACTGAGAGATGTTCCAGTGGCAGCCAAGGAGAAGGGGCAGTGGCCAGTGGAGGGGACACAGTGAGGAGAAGGGGCAGTGGCCAGTGGGGAGAAGGGGCAGTGGCCAGTGATGGGGACACAGTGAGGAGAAGGGGCAGTGGAGGGGACACAGTGAGGAGAAGGGGCAGTGGCCAGTGGAGGGGACACAGTGGGGAGAAGGGGCAGTGAAGGGGACTCAGTGGGGAGAAGGGGCAGTGGCCAGTGGAGGGGACACAGGGGGGAGAAGGGGCAGTGGCCAGTGGAGGGGACACAGTGAGGAGAAGGGACAGTGGCCAGTGGAGGGGACACAGTGAGGAGAAGGGGCAGTGGCCAGTGGAGGGGACACAGTGGGTCCCTCGGTGCTGTGGCTCTGTGTCACTCCCTGGCTCTGTCTGGGAGCAGATGCCACCACTGCCAGCAGTGAGAGCCACACGGCACCACATCCCACAGTAAATGATATGATTTACTTACTACCTATGGAATTGCCCAATTAATTCACTATCCACATTAATATTATGGCTCATTTTTAACTTTACTGTCTCCATCGTTCCAATTTAGTGCTGCTCAGAGATGCTGCCACTGACCTTAATGGGTTTTTCATTATAACAAAGAGCAGATATTAATCACGAGGGGGTTTCAGCTGCAGGCTGCTGCCCAAACCCCACAGTGTGGGGAGCTGCTTTTCAGTGGTTCAGGGACCTGTTTTACTTCTGTCAGGCTGCTCACCCCCGCTCACACCGTGTACAATCCTTTGTGCTGTCCAGGAGGAATTTCTTGGTATAACATTTYCAGAGATTTTATGCGGCAGTCAAGCTACGCTGCAGATATGATAGATTTTTTTCTGGGCAAATTGGAACAAGGAGTAGAAAACTGAAAGGATGCGCCAGTCATAGCCAATGAGCCTCTTATTGTCCTGCCTAAAAATCAAATGCCTTTTAATCATTTCAAATGTTCTTCTGGGTATCAATTAGTCACACATTAATATCAGTATTGCTTCTCTTCCTCAGTTCACATCAGATTAAATTCTCCCCTCTCATATACACTTGCTCTCATTAGCTTCATGGAAAATTAGTGATTGTTCCCTCTCCGTTGGCACTGATGGGAGATTTTCATCAGAACTGCTTTTTATACAGAGAACCTGATTGTCATCTRAAGGACACTAAGGGGTTTTCCCCAAAAATTGTTGTCTTTTCATAAAAATTCCTTCTTTTTTCCTCTGAAACCCTGAAGTCTGAGCCAGAGCATCAGGGAATGGAGGTGAAAAAACCCTTTTTGATGAGTGTCAGSCTGCAGTTTCTGTGCCTGTCTGCATCCCTTGTCTCCTTGTCAGGATCCAGTGCTGTAAGGCAGCTGAGGGGAGCACACTGGGGCTGCACAGGGGTTTGGTGTGTCAAATCCCGAGCCAAGGCCGGGTATCTGTAACCTCTCTGTGGAGAGGAGCAGCGTTTGGGATCGCATCCTGTCCCTGCCCCTTGTGGGGCCACGGCACTCCGGCCTGAGCTGGCCCTGGGGCTGCGTGTGCATGTGTGTGCCCATGTGTGTGTGTGTGCTCATGTGTGTGTGTATGTGTGCGTGTGTGTGTGTGCTCGTTTGTGTGCCCATACGTGTGTGTGTGTGCTCATGTGTATGAATGTGTGCGCTCACATGTGCTCATCTGTGCCCGTTCCCATTGCCCCCAGTCCCCTGGCAGCAGTGTCCAGTTTTGCAGGGTCAGTAGGCCAAGGGCTCCAGCCCAGCCCCGTGACCCCGCACCGTCTCAGCCCCGTGACCCCACACCATCCCATCCCCATGGCCCCACACCATCCCAGCCCCGTGACCCCACACCGTGACCCCACACCGTGACCCCACACCGTGACCCCACACCATCCCATCCCCGTGACCCCACACCGTGACCCCACACCATCCCATCCCCATGACCCCACACCCTCACCCCCCACCGTGACCCCACACTGTGACCCCACACTGTGACCCCACACCATCCCATCCCCGTGACCCCACACCGTGACCCCACACCGTGACCCCACACCATCCCATCCCCGTGACCCCACACCGTGACCCCACACCGTGACCCCACACCATCCCCGCCCCTCCGTGCCCCGCTCCGGTGCTGGAAGGGATCTGTGACATTCATTGATTTTATTCACTCCCAGCCCTGGCAGGCTCTCACCTCTTGCAGCTGATTCAGACACCGACTCCTGCAGGAGTTACAGTGATTGCCATTAAAAAGCTTGACATTTACCTTACAACAGTAATAAAATAATAATGCCTAATTCAGTTTATGAGTGGTATTTGCAGTGTTTCCTGCGCCTCGAGTGGGGGAGATGGTGAAGATCTGCTGATCAATTAMGTCTGCTTAGCAGCACTGCTGTAATTCTTTCCTGTAATCAGAACCATCTTTCAGTAGAGCTGCTCCAAAGTTTTCCTCTGAAACTCTAATTTTGACAAGAAAAGAAAATGTTTTCAAATACTTGAGTTTCCAGTGAATAACAAAAGCTTCCGAGATGGAACTTTCTGGTGGGAAGTGGAGACAGACAAACCTGGTGTCTGCACAGATTTGCTGCATTTAGATTTCCAAAACCTCTCAGATGTTTTCAAAGGCTGCCTGCGTTTGCTTTCCATTAAAAAGGGTTTTTTTCTCCTCCAAATAACCTCGTCAGTATGATTCCCTTCTGTTATTGCCATCTCAAATATTGAACCCCCTGAGTGTGTTTTCCACCCCTGGCACTGCTGAGGGGYTGTGGGGTGAGCAGCTCCTGCAGTTTTAGGGTCAGGGAGCCCAAAGTCCTTTACAGGGAGCAGGTACAGAGCAGAGCACACCCTCAGCACACACAGGTTCACGATGCTCTCCACTTCTGTCTCCCCAGGATTTACCCCGGGTTGCAGGCAGCAACATCCCAATGCTCACAAAGCCAGTGCCAGACCTGCTAAAAGCAATTTCTTTCTCCATTTCTCATCCCGAGCRAAACTCGATGTGGATTTTCTTTTTTTTCAGTGCAATTTTAATTAGTGCATGATGCACTTTGGGTTTTTATTAGAGTAAACAGCTTGGAAAAAGAGTCCATGCCAGCTCTTCTACACCAGGGAGCCTCATCCTGTTCAGACTAGAAACCTCACGCYCGATTTCTGAAAGCCATTCTTAAGATGGGTTCATTTCCGTGAAGAAATGCTACGATTCCAACAAATGGAAATTTTTGAACACAGAAAAAGAAAAAAAAAATAGTCAGGAAATTCCTGGCTAGGCCGACTTTGGGGTAAGGCTGTGCTCTCGACGGGGAGAACTCAGGCTTCACCCCACACACACACTGCACACTGCATGTCTGTGCACACCCCTGCCCATGTTACACACACATGGCACACACATGTATGCACACACGTGTCCCCATGCCATGCCTGTATCCCTCTGCCATGCCCGTGTCCCCCTGCCATGCTCCTGTCCCCATGCCATGTCCGTGTCCCCATGCCATGCCTGTCACCCTGCCATGCCTGTGTCCCTCTGCCATGTCCGTGTCCCCCTGCCATGCTTGTGTCCCTCTGCCATGCCTGTCACCCTGCCATGCCCATGTCCCCATGACATCCTGTGTCCCCCTGCCATTCCCCTGTCCCTCTGCCATGCCTGTCCCCATGCCATGCCCGTGTCCCCCTGCCATACCCATGTCCCCCTGCCATGCCCATGTCCCTCTGCCATGCCTGTGTCCCCATGCCATGTCCGTGTCCCCATGCCATGTCCATGTCCCCATGCCATGTCCATGTCTCCATGCCATGTCCCTATCCCTCTGCCATGTCCGTGTCCCCCTGCCATGCCTGTATCCCCCTGACATGCAAGGACCCGCTGGCAGCCCCACTGCAGAGCTCCCCCATGCATGAACAGAGGCAAGTCCCCCTCTGATCGCAGCAATGCCCGTGTCCCCAAGCTCCAGCGGGACCAGGACCCGTGGGCACACGGGCAGCAGTGCAGGGCAGAAGAGGGGCTGAAACAAGGACCATGGCTGTGGCTGTGTGTGTCAGGCAGTGGGGCTCGGGACCATGTCCAGCCGTGCCCGTGTCCAGCCGTGCCCGTGTCCGTGCCCGTGTCCAGCCGTGCCCGTGTCCAGCCCTGCCCGTGTCCACCCGTGCCCATGTCCAGCCCTGCCCGTGTCCAGCCCTGTCCGTGTCCACCCGTACCCGTGTCCGTGCCCGTGCCCCGGGGGCGGCAGCGCTGCCCGAGCGCCCGGGGCCCCGCTGGCTGCGGGGAAAGCTGGCTGCCCTCCGTGGGGGCGGCGTGGCCCTGCCTTCCCACCGCGTGTGCAGCCAGAGCCTCCCTAACTCCACCTCGGAGCGGGCTGGAGCCCTCGCACACGGCGGAGACCATGGGAGGGACGGCTCGGCAGAGCCCGGAGCACTGCCGCTTTCTGGACGTAAGTTCATGGCTTGCCTKGCCACCCTGCGTCCCCGCAGCGCCAGAAATGTCTGATCCGTGCGTGTCCTCCTCCCTGCCGGAGCCCTCGGCACAGCCTGGCTGTCACTGTTCTGTCATTAAATAGGCAGAAGCAGCCAAGCCGCGGAAGAAGAGCTGCCCCAGGTACCAGCTCTGTGGACTGCTCCTCGGCGTGCTGCTCCTTTCTCTTATTCTGATATTTTTTGGTGTCAAGTACCTCTGGAACCCAGCACCCAGAAAAGTAAGTAAAAACTCTTTCATCCAGCATTTCAGAGCGTTGTTTCCCCAGACAGAGCTGTCTCCCTCCCCTTGACTCGCTGAAACTTCTAACAACTCCCCAAAACCCAAGCAACTTCACAAAATGCATTTTCTGAGACCACAAGTATTCATGGGACTTTTAAAAATCTTTGTATTATTCATAAGTAGCTTTTACTTTATACAGGCTGGRGTTTTTTTCCCTGTCACCGCATTTTTTCCCCAGTTGACAATTACAGGGGATGGGAGCTACGCCACGAAGAGTTAAAGTTACTCTTATTTCACCGGCAGCAAATTTTATGACAAGTAAGAAAATATTTTCCATTTCATTTCAATTATCTTGCCAGAAACCGGTGGAAAAGTCATTATGCCACCGCATAAAGAGGAGAGAAAGCCAGGACGCAGTGGTGATTGATTGTCATGGATTATATTTCTTACTTTAATGTGTCTGCAATGTGAGGGACGGTGAGATGGATTAGCTCCTGGAGGAGCTGCTGCTAACGGGGTTGGGCTCGTTTGTTCCCAGCTGCAGACGGACACTGCTGTGAGTGCAGAACGTGTCGGGGTGGTAGGATTGTGCATCTCCCCACCCAGCACCCTGACACTGCTGCCAAAACCCKTTCTGTGTCCCACACCCCAAGTAAWTMGGTTATCCTTGATGYCAACAGCCTGCCTGGTGYYCCTCATCCTCCTTTCCTTTAGATTTCCATGCTCACCCAGAAGGCCTCGCCTTGCACCCCGTCACCAGTGGGTTTTGCCGGCTCTTAAGAGCATCTCCCAAATTCCTGTGCACAGCCAAGGCAGTCTCTTTCCCACACTGGCTTCTCCAGTCTCCCCCCTGSCCTGGAGCTGCTCCAGCCYGGCCAGGCTGCCCTCCTGCCGGGCACAGGAAGCACCCTGCTSGCTGGAAACTTTATCTTCTTATCAGCAAACAGAAATAAATACCCCCCAAAATGAAAGAAAAAACAATAAAAGCCATATGTTCCTCCAGAATCCTGCCAAGATCATTATAAAGTCTCTACTGTTCCTAGAAAAACAGGGGTCGTGCCAGCCATGAGGGGAAGAGGCTGTTAACCCCTGGAGGGGAGGTTTTCTCCAAGCCAGCCCTGCAGAGACAATGCCACAGCATCAGAAAGGACACCCAGAATTGAGCCCTTGGTGTCCTTGGTGGAGGATGGAGTCCATCCAGCCCTCCCCAACACCTGATGGGCAGACAATGAGGGCATGAGGTCACAAGAAAACCTGGTGGAGAGCASACTGGCACTGCCAGAGCCCAGCACTGCCCTGTCCCTGGGGCCGTGGAGCTCCTCCAGCTGGCCCAGGACACCTCAGGACAGAGCAGGATGGGGAGACTGCGAGTTTGTRACACTCAAAAATATCAACCGAAGGGAATTGAAGTCTTTAAAGAACATGAAACCCTTCAAGCTTCTTTCGTGTGACTGGAGAGTGGAAAAAGCCTTGAAAGAAGAGTTGTTCCTCTGAGGGGTGGCCTTGGMCAYGGCTCTGCCCTCTGCACAGCAGCRTCCGYGCCGGCCGGCACRGCTGATGATTCAGCTAACGAGGGATTCATCACAGCCTTGCAGGGGACATATTTCAACCATTCACCAGCAAGTGTCATTTTTAGCYCTATAAAACACATCATAGCTCTCTGAACGGCACAGACACGGCAAAGCCCAAGGGGGTTAGCTGGCTGCTGTGCTGGCCAAAGTAATTTTTTGTAAATGGAGAGGCACTTGAAGGTAAGGTGCCACCCGGGATCCTGCCTTCCTTGAAATGATTCACGGCATTGTGTGCATTTTGTCAGTCAAAACCAGCAGCCTTCCACACATTTTGGGCTTCAGATTGTTTTTACCATATCATAAAATCCATTGAGAGCTGTATATCTCTCCAAAAGGAGCATGCTCATGGCTGCCAAGGCACACATCACTCCTCTAACCTTTGAGCAGGGGTGAATGTGCCCATCAGTTCCCCTCTGCACAGCCAGTTCTGCACCCTGGGAATGCTGATGCTGCTGAGAGGCTTTGAATCCCCCAGGGGAAGGATGTGCAGGAACCAGGGTGCTGTGAAAGGGGTTTGGGATGGCACTGGAAGCAGAGCTGCTGCCCCACACCAGTGCAGCCAGCGTGCTCTTTCCCCGGTTCCACAGCCTTGCCGTGGGATGAACAGGGCTTTCCCATCTCCGTATCTCCATCTCTCCTGCCTGCCCCGTGGACTTGAGGGGTTTTGCACAAGCCCTTCGCTTCCACACAGCCCCGTTTGATGCGGGGAACGAGACTCCCCAGGGCCCGGCAGCTCTCGCCGCGCCAGCAGGATCATTTCTGTGCTTCAAACAGCATCTGCCACTGCTCATCCTGTCAGGGTCAGGCATCCGCGGAGACTGCAGGGCTGCCGGGCTGGAGAGCAGCGAGCAGGAGAGSGCTGCTCCTCCCGCTCCTCCCGGGGGATCAGCGCCGCCGGCTGCTACACCCGCAGCTCTTCAGCAGCCCTCGAGGATGTCTTTGATCCGCAGGCCATCCTTGATCTCCTCCAGGCGATAGAGGCTCTTATCTCTGCCTTTCCAGGAAAAACAGAAGGCAGAGAGATGGAGAAAGTAAACTRGGGAGGACACAGCGGAGTGAGTGAGCCGGGGACACAGGGATGGAGCAAACAAGCCAGGGATGCAGTGTGGAACAAGCAAGCTAGGGCAAGGGGAAAATTAAATACCTGCCTGGGATGTCACCAGACTCGCACCACAGAAAGCGCCAGCAAAGGCTGAACAGTGGGGAAGCTCCTGGTGCGAGTGTGGGAGGAGCATCCTCTCCCATTCTTGGAACGCATCACTCCCCGTCCTGGCTGCAGCCTGGCCTTTCACCCAACCCTGGCTCCTGCCCGGGACCTGCCCTCCTTTTCACCCCGATGATGGCTCCTCACTGGGACCTGCTCTCCTTTTCACCCCCATGATGGCTCCTGTCCGGGATCTGCTCTCCTTTTCACCCCGATGATGGCTCCTGCCCGGGACTGCTCTCCTTTTCACCCCGATGATGGCTCCTCACTGGGACCTGCTCTCCTTTTCACCCCGATAATGGCTCCTGCCCGGGACCTGCTCTCCTTTTCACCCAACCCTGGCTCCTGTCCGGGATCTGCTCTCCTTTTCGCCCCGATGATGGCTCCTGCCCGGGACTGCTCTCCTGTTCACCCCGATGATGGCTCTGCTCGGAGCCGGGCTCTGAGAACAGCCAGTCCCCCAGCACGGTCCCCAGCAGGGGTGGTCAGCACCAGCASCAGCCTGTCCACCCCTGGACAGTGAAACCAGAGCGGTGCTGAGCTGACCCCGCTGTGACTCTGCCTCCCAGGTTTATGACATGGAGCACACGTTCTTCAGCAACGGCGAGAAGAAGAAGATTGTGATGGAGATTGACCCGCTGGCCAGGACAGAGACCTTCCGCAGCGGGAACGGCACTGAGGAGATCCTGGAGATCCACGACTTCAAAAATGTGAGTGTGCCAGCTCRTCCCTGAGACCCTGGAGTCCTACAGCAGGGCTGAGGGGATCCTTTAGGACATTGTGAAGTCTCTGGAGCAAGTCCCAGGGCTATTTGCTCCTGCATCAGGGAGAGCAAGAGCCAGGCTCTCTGGGGATGCTCTCAAAGGAAAGGAGATGTTATCTACATAAGCTTCCAGCTGTATTTGATAGTGACGTGGTTCAGTTCCAGGGAAATACATCTTAGAAGCGAGAAGACCAAATTATTGGATTGCAAAGGAACACAATCATCATCCGTCTGTCCCAGCCCAGTACATTTGTCTGTCTGGAGAGCATTAAAACCTCAGGACACTGTAGAAGGCTCTCTCTGAAACCTAATTAAAATTTGTAGGGAAATACCCTGTGCAGTGACATATGGTAAAATTTTGAGCTAATAGCCTAACAGGAACTGGGGGCTGAATGTTCATATAACCATAACGGTCAGATGCTATTCTGCATATTTTTATTTATGATAATGAGAGCTCATKATAGTTATAAGGGGAAGAGGAGCAGAGTAAAATTTTATGACTACCTGCCTTAAAATATGTGTAAAAAGCCCAGTTCTCCCAAACCATAAAATGCAATATCCCTTATGAGAACCTGTTAGTACAGCTTAGCACCGGTGCTGAAYGGAACTGGCACAAAAACATCAACAGGAAAAATATGACTAAACCCTCCTCCTCCAGCTGTACCCTCCCCACAATGGGTTATTCATCCTACTCTTTGCCCTGACCGTATTTTGGGTGTTTGCTTTGATCCTGTAGGGAATAACCGGCATCTTCTTCGTGGGACTTCAAAAATGTTTCATCAAAACTCAGACTAAAGTCCTACCTGAGACCACAGAAGCCAAAATTCCTGAGCTTGAGGTAAGTGAATAAAACAGGGCTCCCCTCTGCCCTGTGAGTGAAATCCACTCCTGTCCCTGGCATGGGAGCTGCCATTCCTGCCGCCCTCCCATCTGCTCCAGCCTTCCCAGAGACGCTGCAATAAAGAAATAATGAGTTGTGATCGCTTCATAAAATGATCTTATTTCAGAGGATTGCTTATAAAAACAAGTGAAAAGAAACGGGATTAGACAGCGACAGACAAAAACCTCTCAGTACAATACCGGAGATCAAGAACAATAATCCTGTTGTAGTCAAAAGGTCGTAAGGCAGCTCAGGATTAGCAGGCACCAAAAAGTCAATCACTTTTTCTCTGAGATTTGAGCCTTGTGTTTTGAAACAGAATAAGGCAGAAGCGAGGGATTTAAAAGAACGGCCACTCACATTTAAGAAATGAGATTTGAGAGAACTCCTGACATGCAGACCCGAGATGTGGGAAGCACCAGGCTGGGGCCAYTTCCATCCTGCATGGACCTTCATCCCTCTGATGTGCCTGATTGTTTCCTGCTGCATTTAACTGCATCCTGCTGCAAGGAGCCTCCTGCATTGCATGCTGCATGGAAACAAGTGTTGGAGCCCATAATTCAACCCCTCCCTGACAGTGTGACCTGGAGGGACGGCTCAGTCCCCTGACAGCACTGTCCTTTGTCCCTGTCCCCAYCCTGAGCCCTGGTGGTGGCACAGCCTTCCTGCCCCCCCATTTGCAGGACGGAGGGTGTTAGCAGATTGAATCCCCCCTAAGGAAGCTGCTGCAGATAAAACGCCAGCAGGACACGTGTTTGAAATGAAGCGTGGGCAGAAACATTTCCCTGAATCATGACCCAAATTCCCAGACACCGATTCTTTGATTACGCCCTAAGAAGCTAATAGATCTTTTCAGCTACCGTCGTAAAAGGGATATGACTTCCCAGGCTTTAGCAGAACGCTGCCCCGGGTAGAGAGCTGAAATGTAAAACCCAGTGAGATAAATGTAGATTTAAGCTCTAGTCGTGTCTTCTTGGAGCCTGCACGCTGCCAGGTCCTGCAGGCAGCACCTCCCTGACCCCACAGCTTCCACCAGAGTCTCCAAAAATTACCCAGACTGGGTCAACTTGCCTTGRCTCCTTCCTATGGCTTCCCAAAGCTGGAGGGAAAAACTCTGTAAAAGAGATATACAGCTCTAGATGCCTTCTGGAGAGAAAAAAAATGCTTTTTGCCAGCTTGCTCTATGGGCTACCACCACCAGCATAGACAACGTTGCCTTGGCAGAGAGCTCAGCGCAGACCCATCCAATAATCTTTATATATCTCCCTCCCWAAGTGCCTGCCAAAACACACCATGGACTAATGCAAGAGCAGAGACATGTGGTATAAATTACAGAATACAGCCGTGCAAAGAATTTCTSTGAGGAGTAAATTAAAGTGTTCGATCAAATATCAGTAGGAGGAGGAGAGGGGAATTAAGTGCTRGGAGCAAAGCAGAGAGGAGCTGTTTTAATCTTGTGTTTTAAAAGACTTGGGGCGCTCCAGAAGGCTCTTCCAGATAGTGGGGACTGCACAGGAGCAGGGTTTTGGAGGATGAATTAAGAGAGGAGAGGTGTAGAGTGAAGGAGGACAGGACAGGACGGGTTTGTGATGGGTCTGCCTGTGTGAGGACTGTCAGGGTGTGGTGTGTGCATCCTCTGAGCACCACCAGCCAGGACAGGAGAGGTGCAGCTGCTCTCTGCAGGGAGAGAGGGGCCTCAGGGCACACCAAGGAGAGGAGAAGCAGCCAATGTGGGGACAGAGTGTCTCTCTCACCACACCAAGGTGAATTCTCGCTCTTCTTCCAGGGAGAAGAAATCACCACCACCTACTTTGAGCAGTCTGTGGTCTGGGTGCCCGGGGAAAAGCCCATTCAGAACAAGGAATTCCTGAAGAGCTCCAAAATTTTTGACATCTGCAAAAATGTGACCATCTTCTGGATCCACCCCACGCCAATAGCAGGTACAAGCAGTGTCCCCAAGGAGCTCAAGAGTGGGAACAGCCCTGTCACACACCCGTGACCCTCCTGCCCTGTCCCTCTCTGTGACATACTGGGAACCCACTTTCACAGCCTCATTGTACATCTCAGACATGAACACAGTGCTGCCCATGACCACGGGAGATCGAGGCCAATGAAACAGCAGGGACTGAAGCTTTTCTCTGCAAAGCACTTGTTTCTGCTGGCTCCCCACCACCCTGCACTTTGCAGAGTGCCCACCCTCCTCATAACAGCGGGAAAAAAGATAATCCTTTGTACCTGCAAAGAAAGCAGCACTGCTGGAAACTGGGACGCCTAAATTCTCGTCACCACATGAACATCAGAGTGCGAGCAGACATCTGCATCTAAATCACACGGCGGGGTTGCCACCTCCAGCTGCTCACTACACAGCCCTCGCAGAGGTTGTGGCCTCTGAGATCTGCTGGTGTAATTACCTGCTCTCTCTAACCCACTTCCAACCCAATGAGCCAGTTTAAAAATCCCTGCTGAGAAAACTCCCCGTGCTCTGCAGCCACAGAGGCACATGGCACTGCCCACGGGTGTTGGCCATCTCAGGTGGTCTGGAGGGCAGGTGGGCATCAGAGATCCCCCATACAGAGGGACCCTCCTGCTGTCCTTGGCTGTTGTCTCTTTGTGTTTTCTTGTCCCTGTTGTGACACCCCCTCTGCAGCAGTGCCTGTGTCCCGGTGGGTCCAGCGGGGTCACCAAAGTGCACCCAAAGCCTTTGCCAGGACAGCAATGTCCCAAACCTGTCTGGCATCTCCCCTAGCAAAAGAAATTGCTGCTGGGTCTTTCCTAAGCTAGGAAAGCTGTAGCTGGGCCATAATCTGGCCCAGATMATGTTGCTTTAAAGGAGCTCTACAAATCCATTCCTCAGCAGCAGAGGCCACCGTGAGGATGTGCTTCTGCACACCTACAGCCCCACGCAGGAGATACCACCAGAGGGATGGGGATGGCATGGGCCATTATCCCCTCCAGCCCTGCTCCCAGGCTGGCTGAGAGCAGGAGGCCATGGACCACTGGATCTTTGCTGGCCTTTTTGTGTACCTGGGCACCAAATTCTGGTCAAGACATTAATTCTTGCTGCCGCATTTGTCCGCCTGCTCCCTGGTTATTGACAGCAACATTTGGGCTCCTCTCGTAGTTCCTGAGCTGGCCAACCTTGAAGGGGCAGAAGAAGAAGACCCTGAGCTGCTGACAGCCAGCCAGGGCTGGTTGGACGAGGGGAGTGAACACGAGCTGGGGAAGGACTCACAACCGGGACCCAAGCGCCGGGCACGGCAGCTCACCGAGGAGGATCTGCCCGTCAACGACTATGTGAGTGAGGAAACCCCACCCTGGGCTGTCCTGCTTGTGGTCTGGGGTATCCTGGTCACATTCCTGGGGTGCCCTGGTCACATTCCTGGGGTATCTCACAGCACACAGCGTGTGCTTGCTGTGTTCCTTGGGATGCCCCGTGCAGCCCTTGGGGTGTCTCCACGTTCCCAGGGAGYTCTGCTCCTCTCCTGGGGTGCCCAGGCTGCCCTCGCAGGGTGTCCTGCCCATTCTCTCAGCCGTACCACCCCTGCACTGACTCTGTCTCTTCCCGGCAGTCGGAGAACGGGCTGGAGTTCCACCCGCTGTGGGACGAGCGGGGTTACTGCTGTGCCCAGTGCCGCCGCGCCAACCGCTACTGCCAGAGGGTGTGCGAGCCGCTGCTGGGCTACTACCCCTACCCCTACTGCTACCAGGGCGGCAGGGTCATCTGCCGCATCATCATGCCCTGCAACTGGTGGATCGCGCGGATGCTGGGCCGGGTGTAGCGCCCGCCGTGCAGGAGCGTCCCGACACGGCCACCACGGGGGACAC